TGGGAAACGCAAGAGCTTAAAATATTGTTGTCTTTTTGACATGAACTGCTTATATATATCTGCATGTATTCCATAGTTATTGCAAACGTCTTCTATTTCGTGTTGTTTGCAAAGTCACGAAACAAAGGTTTCGGACGAGTTATAGTGTGTCAACAAAGAATCATTAAACCTGCACTTCGGGTGAGCCCAGCGGCGAATGTTTATACGAAAGCACTTCTTTCTGCTTCTCTTTCCGGGTTGCTAGAAAAAATAACCATATGAAAATTATCTGTTTATAATAACAAAATTTTGCTTAGTTCAGCGACCTCGCTTTGTGTCTGTGCCTGTTGACTATTGATCGCGAATCCACAGAGGGAGCGACGGGCAAGGAAGGGCGAACGAGGAGAGAAGGGCGTGACGAAGAAAGGACACGAAATGGGCCTCATCACCGCGCGTTTGATTTGATATTCTGCATCGAGTAATAATGGAAAAGGAGTAGATACCTTAAAACGAACGCTTTGAAGATTGAGTAAGACAACAAATCCATATGAGTAAGAAAAGCAAAATATTTGTTACTAAGGAAATTTAGGTTGTAACCATTATTCCTGCTTGGCTTTGCGCCCTGAGTGGGATAACCGCAGGGTACCTCCGTCCACTGAACCCTTCCGCCTCGCCCAGTAGAACGCGGCGGGCGTTCCTCAGAGTTGGAGGCCCGGGGCTCCTGAAGAGGGGGAAGGCGGCGAGAACAGGGAGTGGAGTAAAATTGAAGGGAGGCACAGAAAGATAAAGGGTGAAGTAAAAGAGAAAGAGAAGGGCTAGAATGAGAGAGGTGGGGATGGAGAGAGAGCGCGAGAGGGAGGAAGGGAGAGAGAGAGAAGAGAAGAGAGAGCGAGAGGGAGGAAGGGAGAGAGAGAGAAGAGAAGAGAGGGACAGAGAGAGAGATAGAAGAGAAAGAAAGAGAGGAGAGAAGAGAAGAGAGAGAGAGAGAGAAAGAGTAAGAGTAAAGAAAGAGGGAGGAGTTAGGTGAAGATGGATAAAGACAAATAAAATACAAGAAACAATGGCCTTGCCTGTTCTTAGAGGAAGTGATTGAATCCGTTTTTCTTCGCTTTTAACCCGGTCATTCCTGGTCATGCACTCCTTCTTCAAGATGTCAGAGTGATGTCTTGACCGAGTACTTTTGACGGACCAAAGAAGTAAGAGTTAAATAGCCTTGTAGTGAAAAATAACTTCAGTTTAGTTTTATCGCTAGTAATATTTTACTGTTAACAAACGATAGTTTTACTTAGTGGTTTTATGTGAGTGAATTTATTTTTTACATTTATTCTCATTTTTATCACGTTTTTTGCCATGTAATTTACAGTAGTACCATAATCTTCGTTACGTGACTTGCAGTGTTACCATACCATAACCATTCGACTTCTAGTCCCGCTTCAGTGCAAGGTTACTTAATGAACTTTTCCTTTGATCTCTTCTTTTTCTGTGCATCAATTTGTTCCCCCGCTGTAATTAACTAGACAGTGGTGTTTGGGCTGAATATAGACCGTCCTCCCTCCTCCGTTTTCTTACCATCACGGGTTCCTGCTTTCTCTCTCGTTTCCAAAGTACGTTGGATGGAATAGAAAAAGTAGCTCTATACATGTGACTCGGTCAGATAAGACTGAAAAGAAAAAACAGAAATAGGATCCCTGTCGCGGAGAGGGAGAGGAGGCAGCAGAGCAGGTGAGGCCAGGGTAGAGATTGGGGGGGGGGGGGGTAGGATAGAGGACGAGAGGGGAACCCTAAACGGCCAGCATGCGAGCGCGACCCCAGCTTAATGTCTCTAAAAGATCGATCAGGGCTGTATTAGGGAGGTTCTGTTCTGGCTGGGAAGGGAAGGAAAGAGTTTAAAGAAAGCGAAGGGTCAAATAAAGGTAGAAGTAGTGGGGAAAAACTAAAAAAGGAAATGAAAACAGTGGGAAGAAAGAAGAGATGATAAAGTGAATAAAAGCGATAACTACAACAATGAAGGAATCGAAAACATATATTGAATGTAGGAACAGGGTAAAGAGAGGCAGTGGGCTGTTCTTGACCCACGTGTGCTTATCGTGAACTCTAATGGGCGTCGCGATACGGGCGCGCAAAAAGAGGAGCTGCGTTTCGTGGGCGTGGGGGTTCTCCACAGACTCATTGAGCGCTCCCACATCTAGTTAGTCTTACATACATATATGCATTTACCCGCACTCGTTCGTGTGCATATGCGAATCCTAACGCGAACGCATGTACCGTATACAGTGCTCCATGAGAGCATGTACGCAGACATGTATACTATCTCGTATAATTGCAGACTTGCGATCGCACGGCGCAATATAAGGACACATACATACGTATATGATTCAGTATCAAATACATGCACGCATAACACAGTAAGTATTGACTCATGCGATTCACACACGCAGAGGGTGCTTGCAATCTTCGCACAGACTAGCCCGGGGCAGAGCACGAGGGATCAGCGTGGCGGCGCCTCGGGGACGGCGTCGCCCGGCGCGTCCTCCGTCAGCAGACTGAAATGTCTCGAGGGACGGAAGGGTGACAGTAATGCGAATAATGTGCGCTTGGACAGACAGCGAGTCATGCGTCATGCAACAACTTAAACAAAGAGAGTGAACGCGGTCATGCATTCTGCAAGAGAGGAGGGGAGGGCTAAGGGGCAAGAATGCTGTTGAAAGATATATGAGAGAGAAGAAAAATAGTCATGACCACAACCACACCTTCACGACGCGTGTCGATCGTTCATGAAAATTGAGTCCGTG